TTTACTTTTTTGCAAATTTTGGGAATATAGGTTAGTTTATTACGAACTTTAGCTGAATAACTTATAATCAGATTCCTAATATGCTGTGTAATGGATAATAATTGAACAAAAAGTGCTACATATGAACCAATAGGTAAAAGAGCACGAGGGTCGATGACAATCCACTGAACACGGTATATATATATATATATATTCTTTGTATGTGAGCGTGTGGAACATTGCAATTTAACGTTTTCAAGGAGTATTTCTAACTGTCTATCTGATTAGTATTGTTGTGCTATTTTCACAGTATTAATTATTCGAAATAAGCCCAGTCTCAACATATCAAATATATTATTTTTCTGATACTATTCTTAAAGGTTTCTGCTTATGAATATGACCTTTTGTTGTAATTGGGAACCTTCAGATTTTGGGGTGCTCAAACTCAAAGGTCCTTGCAGAACTTTGATATTGGAGGCGAGCGAGAAAGAATGCCCGAACCAATTATACGTGCATTTGGGATTCTTAAAAGGTGCGCTGCGAAGGTAGACTATTATTAATTAACTCAGTTTTTGGCAACAACGTAGACTGGACCAACATTCTCTTCATTTTGTTTTATATTCTTTGTCTGGTGTATCTATCCCATCTGCCATACTCATATTATTGCTTTCTGCTATCCGATCCACATCCCTAATGCAATGCATGTAGTAGTACACAGAACAAAGAGAAAAGGAAAAAAATTTAGGTTTTATATGAGATGGTTTCTTCCACCAGCGCAACCTTCTGTCAGGAATAAGTGTCATACTGTCCTTTAATTATTTCTCGACAAATTTCTGTTCTGCACACTTTGCACAATACAAGAGTCATATTTCTTTGATTTAATGGCCATCTTGTGGCAATTGTCATACTTTGCAGGTGAACATGGAATACAGCCTCAATCCATCCATAGGAAAAGCAATTATGCAAGCTGCCCAAGAAGTTGCTGAGGGAAAACTAAACGATCATTTCTGCTGGTGGTCTGGCAAACTGGAACTCAAAGTAACATGAATGCTAATGAGGTATTCACAAGTTCATGAAGTTTCTAGTCAATAAAGTTTATTTCTTTTTATATGTTTGCAATTGCACCCTGTTTCAGTTGCTTGGAATTAATAATACAGTTCTTTGTTGTGTGTCTTTTACTTAGTTTGCAATGCAATCTGCATTTTGTGACTTTTGGCATGTTGTCTTGCTAATTGAGGGAAAATGTGTACTTAAAAAACAAAAATTGTGGTTTCTGGTATATCTATACACTACACCAGGTCAAGTTTCTTTCTTGGTAACATTACGTTTTTGTTTAAGATAGAGGGAAGAATGACGAACTTGGTTCCGATAGATTGGAGAAAGGAGGTGGGGACTCAATCTTAAGACCTCTGACTGTCGAAACCAACCACTGGTGGTTTTCTGGATATCTTTTCATGTCCATGACAATTGTTTCTACTTTCTCATCCCTTTATTTGCAACCATGTAGGATCAACTGTTCAATGTCTCGTTTCATAAGCACTGTGGATTGGTTTTGCTTTTCTCCCTCAGTTTATCATATCTCCTTTTTATAAGCGTCCTTGGACAAATTATAGCTGGTATCTCTTTTCAATTAATGATCATTTACCAATTTTTCTCTGTTAGATATAATGTTGTGCGCACTTCATCTTTCAGGTTATTGCAGATAGGGCGGCTGAAATTCTGGGTCACAAGCCTGGTGAAAAGTTTGTGCATCCGAATGACCACGTGAACAGATCACAATCTTCTAATGATACATTCCCCGCTGTAAGCTTCTTGCCGGATACCATTGTCAAGTTCCAGCAAATGACCATTTGACCTGATTTCAAGCTTTTTATTTAAATCATTTCTAGTTATTGATTTTCCCCTGTTCCTGTGTATAGGTAATGCATATTGCAGCCGCCATAGAAATAAATTCAAGATTAGTGCCAAAATTAAAACAGTTACATACCACCCTACACTTGAGTAAGCTGTTTATCATCTTTATTTCTCTACGTGATAATTAATGTGTCTGCTTCTTATATTCTCTTCCCTTCTTTACTGCAAGCCTCTTTAAGTTATCAGGCAATTTATGCATCATTGCACAATGTTTTGGGCTGTGGTATAGCTTTGACTTTCCTCTTATTAGGTTCTATTTCTTTACCATTTTCTTAGCTGGTTTATTATGATTGTTCTCTGGTTTCTGATGTGATGTTAAAAAATTTCATTGGATTAGTTAATAGAGTTACATTTCTTATGAAAAAAATTACCAGGACCTTAAACCAACCCAACCCCCATTAAAACAAGGCAGTGAAGTAGTTGAACTAAACTCAAAAATATTTGTATTTCTAAACTTGTCACAGATTCATCTGCCATATTTTATGCCTTGAAATTACTTCCAATTTTTGAAATGGTGTTGATCTTCTAGTAAGGGAAAAATTTGACTGATAACTTCGATTTGGCTATAAAAACATAATGAACAGAGAATTGAACTTAGTTGTGAAAAGCTATCTTAAAGGTGCAAGGCGTTGCAAGACACCAGAATCGCAACACAAGAATCGAGCATCTGTGGCACTTGCTGGTATTAAGTGAGGCACTATTGGATTCTTATCTTAGTTCATAAAAGCTCGCTTTCAATATTATAATTTCATTCCGTTTTCAGAGCTATATGAGGAATCCTAATTCGATGATCAGGCTTATGAATTAGCATTTATGGTTTTCTTACCTGCGTTTTGAAAGGGAAAGGTTCAAAGTTCAAACTATTGGTTGAAATTGCATCTGATTATATACCATATAGGGAGTAGGCAACGACATAGTAGTAAAATGATGTCTTTATTATTAAAGCAATGACAAGTACTAAGTTATTTAGGTTCTGATGATATGCTTTTCTGTTGTCATCCGCTACATTTTTGGTTGTGCCTGATGTAGGACGCTTTCTTATGTGCTGTCATTAATCATCATAGTAATACTTCTGTTATTCTTTTGTTCCTTGCATAGATATGCAATAATAATAATGTTTGCTTTGGGATTATACTCCTTTAGCTTTCAGCGGGTCATGTAAATCATGTTTTTACAACGAAATGTCTTTATTGTCGGATTTTGTCTTGACATACTTGCATACTTTTCTCATCATTTGACACTTTTATAATAGTTTGCTATGTTAGTCTTGAACTCAAAGACATAGTTAAAATTGGTCGTACGCACACACAAGATGCAACACCTTTGACACTTGGACAAGAATTCAGTGGATATACCACCCAAGTAAGCTCTTTAGCCAATACCTTTGAAAGATTGATCGTTCTCGCTTGATGGAGTTGTTTTTGTTGAATTGTAAAGGTTGCTTAATAATTTTTGTCCTATAAATATATAAAGATATTCGTTATGATTGCAGGTAAAGTACAGAATTGATCGGGTCTTGTGCACCCTTCCACGTACGTATCAGGTTCACTCCTTACCTTTGTATCCTCCTACCTTTCTTTCTTTTCGTATCTCCCTGCAGTGCTAAGAGTTTGGAGATAATTCTGCAGCTTGCGCAGGGGGGCACTGCTGTAGGGACTGGATTGAACACAAAGAAAGGGTAAGGAATACAGTAGTTTGTTTATGCTTGTTCCATGTTTGACACGTATATTTGCATTGTTTGCTAGAGGAAGAAGTAAAGGTTCTGAAAATAAAAAATTGCCTTCGACACATCCTAAGTTAATGTTAATATGATTAATTATTATAACTAAATTTATTTATATGTAATACATTAGTTTTAAAGTATAATTTATTTATTTATTGAAGTTAATAGTTCGTTCTTTTATTTGAGCAGTAATGTAAAAGTTCATTTCAAAAGAAGTAAAAGTTTATGCATAAAAGTGAAAATGGTGACTAATCCCAAAATATTTATTTATAAGTAAATGGTAAGTTCTAAATCAAATAACTATTTTAATCAATAAAAGTTAAAAATAAATAAGTTACTTATTTTGATAGAAACATGAGAGTTATTTTACATTTCTGCTTAAAATTAAGAAAAAAGTAAGTTAATTAAATATATCATTAGGGAACAATTAAATTTACTTATGAGTAAATAAGTAAATTTTAAAATAAACTAGTTAATCAAGTACAAAAAAAATAAACAAGCTACCTTGACAAGAGGGTAATTTCTCAAAAGTAGTAGAAAAGTAAGTAATTCAAACGTAAAAGACTTCACCCTTTTAAGCTTACAAGAAAAATAGTGCTAAATTCTTACATAATATCATTTGTGCAGTTTTCTAATATCGGCTCTATACATCCCATGGGTTAAGCTAGAACAGCAATGCTTATACATCCCACAGACTATTTTTAGCTTTTCAAAACTCCACTTACTGATTCACCAACTGTTCTTAGATTTTAAATCACACCTAGAGTTGGCCCTTTTTTTGAACCTCATTTCTTAAAACTCATTTTTAATCATATATTTTATAGGATTCACAACTTTTATCAAATTTTCAATTACATATTTCATCCACCAAAATCTACAATATTTGATTTTAATTCAAACCAACTCGAGGCTTAACTTCTGTAGTCATGATCCTGTTTCAATTAGGAACAATCTCTAGGAAGGTAACAACCGTACTACCTAAGTTTTATGCATAACTGTCAAACTTAGTCCATCCAATTATATCGACAATACACGTACAATCGGGATTAACGGATTAAACACCAGCCAAAATCTACTGAACTTCTTGCTTTCAAACCCTAAACCAATAGTTACACAGCGCAACATTTCCCTCTAGTCTTGTCAACATTTCTTGCATAGATTGTCTAGAGCCGAATATCAATTGCAACAACGAAATTTAAGTTCAACAACTTCCAAGTGAAATCTATTTTTAAAGTCCCATTACGAAAGATGCAAGTCCCAAAAGATGCTGTCTAACTCGTAGAAATTTGGCTCTCAAATCAGAATAGATCTCCAGCAGGACCAAGATCAATCATACAATAGAAAAATAATCCATTTTCAGAAGATACCTGAGTAAAAGACAAGCTTTATCTAAAGAAGCAAATGCCAACAGGGAAATTTAGAGAGACGATAACTCAAATCAAAATATGACAAACTAGAATGACGTATTTCAATACTCCTTTCGTCTAGATATAGATAACATAGTTTTATATGAAGATAACAACAAAAAAGGGGGAAAACAAAGTGCCATACTAACAAAAACAGTGCCATGACATAAAGCCACCAATCCTTAAAAGTTGCCATGATAAATATTTCACTTCTTAGCTTTCTTACTTCCCCTGCATTGAACATTTAAGAAGGTCAGAGCACAGTTGCAACTTGAAGAAGGGATTGCAGGATATTCAGAAATCGCTTACTGTGCTGGCTGGGTTGCAGGGGCTGCTGCAGCTCAAGGTGGTGGCCCCTGAAATAGAAACAGCAGAAGGAATTTGACCAATTAACACAAGATTGAAGCTCAAATACAATGACAAATTTCAGTGTCTTATTTAAAAATGGTTCTTTATAATCCCCGAGGGTGTTAAAAACATATCCCAAGGTAAAGGAGAATGTGCACAATTGGTTAATGTCACATAAAAACATATTAAGTTCTTCTCCAAACCTAGAGGAGACAAAGCCTTTGACATGCATGCACACACATATGTATGCTAAATAATTGCACAGGCAATTCATAGTCCTTATTTTTGTTTGAGTTCAAAGAAACTGCTGCAGGACAAGCCAAAAAATATCAAAGTTAGAGCTCGAAGGGAAAACATAATCACCTGGGCAAAACGTTCCTCTCTCCTTGCTATCTTCCTCTCCCTACTAGCCTTGTTCTTCGCTCTCTTAGCCTCAAACTGATCAGACAAGGTCTTCTCTCTGGCCTTCTCAGCCTTAGACTTGTGGATGCTCTCCATCAAAACACGTTTGTTCTTGAAAACATTTCCCTTCACCTTCATGTACATGTCATGATACATGTGTTTGTCAATTTTCTTCGACTCCCGGTACTTACGCAACAAGCGCCTGAGGACTCTCATTCTTCGCATCCAAAGCACTTTGGTGGGTAATCTGGCCTCTCTAGTACCCTTACGTTTACCTGCAATTATTTGGAAGCATATTCAAAATTGGGCTTGTATTCTTCCCTTCCCAACAAATAGCTTAACTAAACTGAGGAGGACAGTGCATGAAAGCACATTATCTTAACAATAAACAATATTATAATTTCACAGTAGCAGTAGAAATTTTCAATCTTGGTTACCAATGCTGCATTTGGGTGCAATCTGCAGACAATGTTAATTTGGGGAAATGTATAACATAAAAATCGTGACTCTGGCCTAATTTTTCAATAAAATAAGATAAAGTTGTTTATTTAATTTCATGGATAAATAAAAGGACTGCCATAAGATCCATGTATTGCTTATAACTAAATTTAATTTCTCAAACTAACAGTAGTTTGTTCTTGATCAAAGTCTAACAACTGCAATTCTAAAAACCAAAATCCAGAATTTACAAAATTCTCACAATCAGAAAACAGTACCATATCCGGAATGACGTCCCTTTCTCTTGGCCTCCTTCATTCTCCGAGCACGGGATCGTGAGTGAATCTTGGTTGGCTTCCTGATGATGAAACCATCCTTGACCAATTTCCTGATGTTTTGTCCTGCATTTCAGGTGTTGAAAATCTTTAATACCACCATTATCAGCACTCGCAACACTAGATGATGCTTACTAAATGGTGCCAAGAAAAAGAGCTGCTGATTTCAATAGTTCAGAAAAAAGTATATCAATTTAGAAACAGTGCATAATACAAATCAATAAATGGTACACCAAGCAAACTCTAGTAACTTATTCAAAATTTTCTTGACATCATTTAATTACTACAACACAGTATCGCAGTAGAGGGGTCAACACTTCACTTTCAGATATTTTTACTAATTCTGTAACACATCTCATCCTCTGAGTAACTACAAACACAATTTGCTAAATTTTCTATTCAATGGTTGAAGGTTCAGAATATAAGGCAAACAATTTAACAAGACTGATTAATTTGTCATAAGAATTTTGACGAGACTTTTTATGTAACTAAAATTTTCAAAAATAATACATAACTCTGTGTAAAAAATTGAATAGAAATCATGTTTAATAATAAAATTAACGTCAAGATTTATTTTATAAAAGAAGAAATAATCGAAAACTGAAAAATCAATCACTACAGCACGATTATTAAGAAGTTGTTAAACGAATCAAATCGGATCGGATCTTCAAAAAATGAATCCAAAAAAGTCCTTATAATAAACATAAACGTACGTAAATCTGTTTATGTATTTGTGATTGAGGGAGGAGGTGAAAGCGTACTGGAATTAGCCTTGTAGAGTTCATTGACTTCATTAGGGTCGAGCCAGACCTTTCTTTTGCCGCACTTGAGGACGCTGGCGGCAAGCCGCTTCTGTAGCTTCAGCGACACCATTTTCTCCCGCTCTCTCCCTCTCTCTCTCTGGGTATTTTCGCAGCTGTGCGAATGGAAGGAAGAGTGCAGTGCTGTGGCGCTAACCTTTTATATGTCACACGATTTGTTCTAGGGTTTGTGATCCCATTTTTTCTGTTTTCTATTTGGGCTACTTTCTGTTGTATGGGGGCTTTGGTTTTTTTATGGGCCGGATCCGGAAACTGACGTATTTAAAGCACTGGATCATCTGAATACTAGTACAACCCATAATTATCAAACTCGACCCAGTCGTAGCACTGGCTCACTGGGCCACTACTTCGACTAACAGACCAATTTTTTCTTAAAATGTGTTTGATTGCAGGCATGAAATTTATATAAAAAGAAAATAAATTTTGGGCAATTAAATTGCCTACAAGTTATTTGCTTGAAAATTGTCGATTAAATGTGTTTGACTGATTTAATTTTCTAACTAAAAAATCCTATACTTGCCCAATTTTATTGGTAGGTAGATGAAAGAGAAAGATGGATAATTACTTGAAAAATAAAAACTTAAGGTCCATTTGATTGTAAAGATGGAATTGAATTGGGTGGAAAACGAATTGAATTACCTAGAATTGTTTTCTTAGGAATTGTAAATTATTGTGTTTGATTGGTATAATTTTTCACGTGGAAAATGTTGAAATAAAAGTATTTTTTGATATTCGTTTGATTTTATTTTACATGAATATTATTAATTAAAATGATAGAATTTACTGGTATTGAGGATGACATTGGTTTTCATCGCCAAAAAGCAAAAAAAAAAAAAAAATAATAATAATAATAAATAAATAATTCAAGAAAATCATTTATTTTTTAGTGTTCGTTTGACTTTGTTTTACATGAAAATTATCAATGAAAGAGAAATCATTTTTTACAATAATTCTTAGAATTTGTTTCTGTTGCCTAAAAAAATGAAAAAAAAATCGCTACAGTAGCCGGGATGGTGAGAATTGGAATTCCACCAAATCAAGGAATATCACAACTTCCAATAAAAGCTAGAAACCAATTCCATGGAAAATCTTGTGAATCAAACACTACATTTTGGATTTTCCACCCATTTCTATGGAATTGGGTGAATCAGACACTACCTTACTTCTCTAAAAAAATATTTTCCTTATTTTCAAGGAAAATATGATTATGTGACCAAAAATAAGAAAATGTTTTTCATGAAAAAAATATCAATTAAACAGTTAAAAATAGAAATTTGGATAAAAAATGATCTTTCATGGAAAATATTAGCAATCAAACGCACTAATGATTCAACCATTATAGGTTTGTGAGCCACTTCATCCTGTAGCATTGTGTTTACAGTAGTAATTCATTTTGATTTCACTTTATTCAATTATGCTTTTAACGTCAAATTGGTTTATGAAGTCAAGTAGTGGTAAAGGTAATATTATTCCAAACGCTTTTTAAAATGAAGAAGAAATTGATCGTGCATCTCTTGCATAAAATGATTTCAACTTTTATGAACTTCAAATAGTTCAAATTGAACAAAGACTTCATAAGCGAACTATTCCAAAGTTGGATAAGAGTTCCATCTATGAGATAGGAAAATTTGAGTTACATCAAAATTATGTCATTAAAACTCTTGAGCAAACTTGAGCTATCAAGAATTAAAATGTTCATATAAATATATTTTCTAAAGATACTATTCAATCTCATAGGAAGAAGTTCAAGTATTTGGTGTGGGATTAATTCAAATTGTTTCGACTTGGTTTAAACATTCCTATTCTCTTTATTGGAAAGAAATATTTTTATCTAAACTTTCTAAACTCTTTGCGGAGTGGGTTAGAAACGCTATCAAAAGAGACAGTGATAATACTATTCCTTATCATTATCTTGCTTATGGAGAACTAAACATTTTTTTTCAATCAAGATGGATTAGCTCTTAGTAATGATCTCTAACTTAAAGTCAAATTAAAATCAGAATGTCATAACGAACTAGGTTTGAGAAAATTGTTCCATCTTGAAAATTGAAAAGGAAAATTTTTCCTTCTCATATGAAGAGAAGATATTTCCCAAAAGAAAGAAATTTTAAAAATGTAATCCAAAAAAAAAAAAATTGTAAAAAGAGATTTTCAAAAACTTCCGATGTTACTTGTCGAAAATACAAACGAACAAAACATTATTCTAATAAATATCCTATGAAAGGAAAAAAATAATAATCTTCAATTTGATAGAGATATTAAGGTTGAATTTTCCAATCTCGTCAATTCTAGTTCAGAAGATGAATATGAGAATCTGACCATAGAATTGAACAAGTTTATCAACATCAAAAAGATTTTGTTATTGAGATTAGCTCAAATTCATCCTCTTCTTCAAGCTATTGTAAAGGAATTTTTGGATGTAAAACCATAAATGTCCTTACCAAAGAAGAAGAACTTATTCAAGAAATAATTGAGAAAATTGAAAATTTTCAACTCGAGAGATAGTTTACTTCTCTTTTGCCATCGAATTCCCTAGTTGAACCATTTAATATGCAAAGCATAATGAATTGGTTTAAAATTGAATCTTCAAAGTCATTTATTTTTTATTTAAAATCACAAATCAATGAGATGAAACATCAAATTTCAATCCTTGAACGTCAAATAAAAGAAGCACGAATTAAAGTCATACAACTTAAAACAAAATATTTAGAATGTAAATATATTCACAAATTTCCTTCATCTTCTTGAGAAGATGCTGAAATTTCTCAGGCTTATAATTCAAATTCTCAATACGAAGAAGAAAATATTAATATTATTAACCAAATTCAATTTCAAAAATGGTACTACAATATGACCATTGCGGTTAATAAAGAATTCAAATACACCTCCAAAGTCTTTATTGATTCAGGAGCCGATCAAAATTGTGTCTGGGAATGATTAATACCTGCAAAATATTTTGAAAAAAATTACTGAATGTCTTTACAGTGCCAGTAACAAAAAAACTTAATATTCAACATAAACTTTCAAAAGCTCATGTCTATAATTAAAATATTTGTTTCAAAAATATATTTTATCTTGTAAAAGATTTAGACCAAGAAGTAATTTTTGGAACTCCTTTTATTGTTCAAAGTTATCCCTTTCAAACAGATTCAAAAGGACTTACTACAAATATTTTTTGTCAATAAATATTTTTTAAATTTACAAATCTTCCATCTTATAAAGATGTTAATTTTTTAAAAGAAACGTCAATCTAAAAAAATATCAATAACATTAATTTGAAGAAGAATCATATTCCATTTCTCAAAGAAGAAATTAAATTTCAAAGAATTGAAGGACAATTACAAAAATCTTTAATAAAAGAAAAAATTCCAAAATTACTGAATGAAATTGACAGTGAAATATGTTCTACTATTCCCAACACCTTTTGGAATAAGAAGAAACATATTATCTCTCTTCCCTACAAATTTAGTTTTCATGAATCACCTACAAATCTTGCCCTATTCAAATGAACGAAGAGTTACTCGATCATTTTGTCAAAGAAATCAAAGATTTACCTGATAAAGGTCTTATTCGACCAAGTAAATCACCACTGATTTGCTTTGTATTCTATGCCAATAATTCTATTGAAATTGAACGATGTGTTCCGCGACTCTTTTTCAATTATAAACCACTCAATAAAGCTCTTCAAAATTCAATGGATAAGATATCCATTATCTAAAAAAAAATATCTTTTGAATGGATTATTTATCTTCTCAAATTTTGATATGAAGCCAGGATTTTGCCTTCAATGTTCTCATTTGTTAACATGAATGAAATATTATGCCATTTGGTCTTTAAAATGTTCCTTTAGAATTTAAAAATAAATAAATAAAGGATGATATTTTCAACTCTTTTAAAAAATTTATAATTTTATACATTGATGATGTTCTTATATATTCAGAAATTATAGAACATCATTTCAAACATTTAAATACTTTCATTTATATAGTCAAGAAAAATAGATTAGCAATTTCTGCTAAGAAAGTTATTCTTTGTCAAATACGCATTAGGTTTCTATGATATAACATTCATTTAGGAGCCATTACTCCAATTTCACAAACAAATTTCCCGATGAAATCTTAAGCAAATCAAGTTTGCAACGATTTTAAGTTGTGTCAAAAGAGAGAGATAATATTTGTTGGCTTTTGATCAAGTTATATTAAGGTTATTATTTTTTTTACTGGGTTGAATGTGAGTTAACTGTTGCAGATATTTTATTATTTAAATGGTTTTTCGAAAAATGTATAGAGAATAAGTTTTTAGCGAACGTTTTTTCCTAAATTATCGTGGATGATTTGTTTTTGTTTTTTTTATGTTGTGGATCGTCTCTTGGTGAGAAGATAGTCTTTAAAACTTTTAATTTTTATCACAATTAAATTGATGTATGTAATATAAGGCTACATATATTTATCTATATAATATCAATACTCTTCGAATGAGTTTAAACATTTTGAAATATAAAGTTACATTATAATTTTTAAACACCATCACTATATTGGAATTTCAATGTTCCTTCACAATAACGCGACACTAAACGTCAAGATGGATTTCTCCGAAGATTTTAGCCGTTATAAAAGGGCTTCTTTTACTACCTGATCATGCTCAGTATGCCTTTTTTGGCAAATATATATATATATATATATATATGGAGACAATTTATTAATTAGTATAGGATTTTTAGGAAGATGTTCAAATAACTCCCAGACAAAATATAAAATCTATATAGATAAAGTAGTAAATTTAATGAGTAGTAAAGGAATTAATATGGTCAAACCAAAAGAATACTCATCAGAACAATTAGCAGGATTAGAATGGGACATGGATAAATTCTTAGAAAATCAAGAAATAATTATAGCACCACAGGAAGCATTAACTTATAAAGATATTCATGGAAGAACTAGCTTAAGATTTTTAGACTATAATCAAGTACAAAGACAAAATGACTTTGAAGAAGAAACCAATCCTGATGAAGAACAAAATGAATCATTTCAAAATCAAGTTCATCTAGAATTAATAGATGAAGAACATGATAGAATAATCTATCCAAAAGAATTAGGAATGAATTTAGATAATAAAGAATTATTAGAATTAGAAGACCAAATGTATCTTAATAAAATA